ATTGAACAAATTAGTTCGCTACTCTACTAATGCTAATCAATATTTTTTCTTCCTTGTTTCCTTAAACCTCATAGAATATTTTATGGAAGCAGATGTAGTGTCAGTGTGCAAAACGTTGCGAATGCAAACTTCCGCTTTGTCGTGACGCCGACTGCATTTTCTGCCGYCATTAAAGAAAGCAACTGGCTGTGCCTGAAAACGAAACCTAGCAAAGTTTAGTGTACACTCTCTTGGTGAATCACAATATATAGTTTAATTGCCAAGTTGTTTTTTATTTCTGCTTTTCAATTCTATTTAATAAATAACAGCATATATAGATCATGCATTGCCTTGCCATGCCACACTTGCCATGTTTCGAATACATTATTGAAAATGATGATGAGTTAKAACAGCGGAATTTGATAAAAGGAAAARCCAGAGAAAGAAAACCACGCACACAACAAGACACCCCTTTTCCCTCCCTACCCCTCCCCCCCAAAAAAAACTTGCAGGCACTTAGAGTCTATCTATAAATTTTCAAAAGATTGATGCTCGAAATTGCAAAGAAACGGCAAAACACAACATAATTAACAAACGTATAAGTTTTTTAAATTTAACTTTTAAAACAATTTCAAACTTGACATAATACGCTAAAAAATTTGTTTGATTATAGAAAAATAATAAGGGGGTGACTTGCGAAGACATGCTTCTATGAAATGTGCTCATTCTAATGACTGCTACAGTATAAAACGTTTAAACTTTATAACCTTATTTAAAATCCTTAGCCYTTTATAATCAAGCTTTCAAAATTTCTTTATCTTATCTTATTTCATTTTATTTTTTCAAAAGCAAAATTTACGCTTGTGATGCCTGTGGGTTAAATGTAGTTCGCATTGAATGACGCAAGCATAAGGGCGACACTGAAGCACTGTTAAGCTTTTACAAACTACACATAACGAATCTAGGATAAATAAAGGAAGCATTTATGGAAAAATAGCTGGGTGTCAGTTTACAAATCGATTTTTTTGCATATTTAATTGGACAAAACCCTAAATTAAAAAAAACAATTTGGAAACTACGAAACTACGCA